CCCCGCAGGTGCCCACCGAGGGCAAAGACAGCAGGCAGACACATCGCCAGCCCCAGGAGCTCAAAGCCAAGTGAGGGCGGAGCCGGCACCGACCTTAGAACCATCCAGTCAATCTCCCCACATTATGGATGGGAAAACTGAGGCCCCTGGAGGCAGGAGGTTCTCAGGCTGCCTGACAGAAGGTAAGGGGATAAGTGGGAGCGTATGTCCAGAACCTCCACGGAACAGATGCAGAAAGGGCCTGGTGGGGGAATGCCGGGTCTGGCTCTGGGCGAGTTAGCACTGTGCTCTGCCGGGCCCCACCTGTACCGGCTACACCGCAGGCATCCAGTGTGGCTGGGGAGGATGGAGGATACCAGGCCCTTCGTACCACCCATCCCTCCCCTACGCTTTGATTGAGCTCCTACTGTGAGCCGTGAACTGGTCCCCGCACCAGACTGTGGGACAGAGATGTGGCCTGTCTACAAGAGCCCACAGCAGAGACGTGGTCTGATGATGGCTCACCCTCGAAGGGGCACACAGGAGGCCAGTGAAGGGGGCTCTACCCCAGGCTGGGAGAGCAGGGAGGCCTCCCAGGGAGGAATCTCATGCCGCATGTTTTCAAGGAAGAGGAGAGCCCTAGGGATGGACAGGGCAGAGTTGCCAGCCTGGAGAACGTCATGTGCCCGGCCCGGAGTCCATGGCAGGCAGTGACAAATGGGCTCCCAGCCTGGAGGGAGCAGGCCGAGGCAAAGCAGAACCCAGCCTGAAATCTGGGAAGAGCTGCTTGCATTGGGGTAGCAGAAATACACCCTCCCTGCAGCCTGAGAGGGTGAGCGAGGCCACAGGCACACGTGCATGTGTGGGTGTGCGCACGTGTGCTGGCACATGGGTGGGTGTGTGCAGCAACGTGTGTGCACATGTGGACATGCACGCCTGTGTGCTGGATGCTTGTATATGCACAAATGAGGTGTGCACACAAACTCATGCATGCATGCACATAGCATGTGTATGTGATTTTGTGTGTGTGGATATGCGTGTGCCTGGACACATGCACGAGCACAGTGTGTGTGACGTGTGCACATGTGGATGGGTGTGCACGCATGCTGCTTACCGGTGCACGTACACGTGAGTGCGTGCATCGTGTGTACACGTGGATACTCGTGTTAACTCACTGTCACGCATATGGCTCTGCATCTCGTGGTACGAATTCCTGTTTGTGTGTGTGTGTGAGGATGCGAGCATAGGTGTGCGTGGGTATGTGTGCATGCATGTGTGGCTACGTGTGCATGTGTGTGTGTGTGTGTGTGTGTGTGCGCATGCATAACTGTGCACACAGGGAGGTGGTTCAAGGAGACAAGCCCCTCTACCTGAGCTGAGGCCACTCGTGGAGCACAGGGCACCGCACCCAGCAGGTGTGCATCCAAATTCCTCCTCTCAGCAGTGGGCCCAGGTCCCAGTGTCCCAAGGCTGTGGGTCACGGGTGGGATGAAGACGAGTACACCCTGGTAGCCCCAGGATGCTCCGCTTCCATATGATTTCCTGCCGAGATGGCCCACACCCCCTCCGCAACGACCCCATCCCCTACCAGTGCAGCCTGACTCCCCAGTAGTGCCCTCCCATCATCCCTCCTGGTCCCGCCAAGCCCAGGCCTGGACAGCAGCGACTCCTCAGCACGGGCAGTCTTCCCGGGCACGTGCTGTTTTGTCTGTTCCAGGGCAGCTGGGAGCAGTTTGTCAAGCCTAATCTCCAGTGTCGGGGTAAGAGGCCTCTCCAGCTCCTCTGTGAACAGCTTGGTCTCTGGGGCCTCTGGTGCACGCGAGCAGGCCTGCATGTGGTGCTTCCCTGAAGCCCAGGCAAGGGCTCTCTACCCAAGGACTCCTCAGTGGCCCAGCCCTCTGCCGCCCCTCAGCTCTGGGCCCTGGACCCACAGGAGAGGCGCTTCTTTCTTCGTCCTCCTGGGCGAGGCCAGCTGGGGCAGGCGTCCCCAGGTGCCTGGGCCACTTGGCTGGCCAGGCACTCCAAATGTCCCCAGCCTGGCCTGGCCAAAGAGTCACTGCCTGGGCAGTGGGATGTCCTGTCTGCTTTGGGCCCCCTGCAGCTCTGGGTCCTTTTCCTTCAAATCCCTCATGCTAGACCGGCCTGGCCTGTGAACTTGTGAGGCATCAGGACCCTTGAATGCATCCCCCAAAGTGCTTTTCGAAAGTTAAGAACCCCCCAAGGTCAGGAGGAGGCCCACATGGCTGTCCAGCTGCTGGGAGGACGGATCTCTCCAAAACCTACATCTGACCACGGCCATGTCCCTTGTTTGGACATGCCCACCAGGACAAAGCCCGCCCCCACCCCAGGGAGCACAACCAACAGGGGCCTCTCACTTCCTAATAACTCCTCGCACTCTCCAAACACAGCCCAGAGGCCACCTCCTCCAGGAAGCCTTCCTTGATAACCCCACTCTCAGGCTGGAAGAGGAGCCCCAGGGCATTGATGGCATTTACTGCACCCATCTCAGTGTGTGGCACCATCCACCCCAGATGGTGAGCACTCAAGGAAGAAGGCCTGATACAGACAGGGCCGGTGCGTGCCAACAATGGAGGATCAGGTGTGTAGGGGTCTTCCCTGCAAAATGCACCCCTAAGTACCCCGACTGGTGGCACCTTTTACGCCCCCAGGACCAGAGGACCTTTCACAAGTATGGTGCCTCTACCTTCCCTGGGTTACACGCGATTGTGGCTTTGCTCCCAAAATGGCATAAATGCCAAGGACTGGCCCTTGTTGAGCAGGTCTGCCATCTGGAGTCTTTGATTTCCAGCCTGGTCCTGGCCTCCTCCTTGGTATAACGTTGTTAACAAGGATGTCAGAGCTCTACATGGGCATCTCTGCTAGGAGAGCATGCTCTCCTGGTAAGGCCTCTGAGCCCTTCCAGAGCTCAGAGAAGAGAGAAGCGGCCCCCAAGCCACGCACGTTTCTAGGCATCACTGGGGGTGTGTGGCTCCAACCCCTCCCTGAGTCACCCTCTTAGTACCCAGAGGCATCCCACAACCACAGCTCCCCCCCACACACACCCGAGGATGCAGGGAGAGCTGCGGGCCAGCCTGGGTATGGTTCTGCTTTGCTGGGAGGAAAGGTCCTCCGGCTGGTCTGAGTGAGACATGCCAGGCCTGGGAACTCCAACCTCCTCCCCAGGGTCTGTCTCCCACAGACCTCAGGGTGTCTGGAGGCGGGGACCAGCGGCACCTGACACGGCTGGGAGCAACAGTGCACGTCTGCGGAACGAATGCACTGGGACGTGGGACAGGGGTAAGCGGGGGTTACCCCAGTAGCTTGCCCCGAAGCAGAAATGAGGCTCCCACGCCAAACCGCCCCTCATGCGGCAATTCAGTTTGGGGCGTTTGTCAGACGCGGTGATGCTGAACATCCCCCAGCCTTTAAAAGCAGGGCCACAGAGCATAAGAATTAAACTTCAATAATTGTCAACATGGGTGCAGAGCCTGGGAGCCTGCCCAGGGCTTCCACAGGCACTGCCGTCATGATTCACGCTCCAGCAGCGCTTGGAACTGAGGCCGGGGGTGGGGTGGTGGTTCTGCACCGGAGCATCCACCAGAGATGCGAGCTGGAGCCGGACCCGCCCTCGGCAGCTCCGCTGCGCACCCAAGCAGCGACGCGTTCTCCGCCAGGCTGCGAGTGGCTGGCTCTCCAATCAGGCCGCGGACCCCGAGCCGCCCGTCCGGCACGCGAGTGTGCGCTCCCGCGTGTTCGTGTGTCCGGGGGAGGTGAGGAAGCTCGCGTCTTAGAAAGAGCAGGCTTCTGGAACTCACCGCCCAGGCCAGCTGGCACTCGGTCCAGTCCCGCAGGCTGCGGACAGCCCTGGAGGGGGCGCCCTCGCCGAGCGCGCGCGCCCCACGCCACCGCCCCGGGCTCCTCCCCGGCGCCGCGCGGGCAGGTTCGCCGAGGCGGCCGCGGGCTCCGGCTCCTGGGCCCGCTCCCCCCGGGCCGGCGGCGCTGGCCTGCCCGCCAGGCCGCCCCCGCCCGTCCGCGCCCCGCCCCGCTGCGCAACTCTACCCAAGTTGGAAGCCGAGCCCGAGCGGCGACACTCGCGCCGAGCGCACGGCGGCGGCGGCGGCGGCGGCGGCGGCGGCGCAGCTCCGGCGAGCCGAGGCAGGCGAGGCGGCGCCAGCACGGCCGAGCGCGGACCGCGGGGGGCGCCCGCGCCGGGAGCAGCGGGAGGAGGAGCCGGAGGAGGACGCACGGCGACGCCGGCGCCCTGCCCGGGAAAGTAAAGTTGGAGCCGGAGGCGGCACGCGGGCGCTGGGGCCCCAAGGAGCGGCGGCCCGCGCCCCGGCGCGCCGAGCCCTAGCCGGCCGGATGGGAGGCGGAGCG